TTAGCAATGTTTAAATCCAGTTTATTAATTAATCTTGTGGGTTATTTTGTTTTGGTGATATTATTAGCATGGCTAATAAAAACAAAAAGGTTGTCACTCCTACACTTTGGGAGAAGGACACCAAGTTAATATTCTGTGATCTATGCATATGTGAAATTGATAAGGGAAATAGGCCAACGACATTTTTCAATAAGGAAGGTTGGGATAACATCATTAGCAAATTCAAGGAGATGACAGGTAGGGAATATGATAGGCTCCAATTGAAGAATAAATGGGATCAGCTTAAGAAAGATTGGAAACTGTTGAATGATTTGAAGCGTGGCTCCACTGGATTTGGATGGGATTCGGTGAATAGAACAATTGAGGCGTCAGAGGAGTGGTGGCAAGAAAGGCTTGCGGTAAGATATTATTGAGTCATTCTTTTTAATTTTAATAAGTTCTATTTTTTATCTCTAATAACCATTCATTCTCTTTTGCAGATTGTTCCTGCGGCAAAGAAGTTCAGATTGGCTGAGATTGAATCAGAATTGGAGGGCAAGTTACAAATGATGTTTGGTGGGGTGGTAGCTACAGGGAAATATTCAGCTGCCCCTAGCCAAACAGTTTTTGAAACAACCCCCGAGAATGTGGCCGTGGAATTATCAAATGATTCTGCAGAATTTCGCAGTGTTGAGCCACTTGAAATTCAATCCAACAATCGTGCGAAGCGCCCCCGGAACGAATGCAAGAGAAAGAGTGGACCTGCATCTATGAGGGAGCAGCTCTCATACCTAGTGGACTCATCTAATGATGCCCCTCACAGAGTTCAAAAAACCTCGGTTCATGAGGTCATTGGACTTCTTGAAGAAGATCCAGAATTTACAGGGGATTGTGATCTTTTTTACTTTGCTGTAAACCTCTTCTGTGATTCCCTCCACCGATACTTCTTCACAGCACTGAGCAAAGAGCGACGACTGAAATACATACGCTATTATTATAACCGTCGTGACTTGTGAAGTTTAGCTCCTCATTAGTTCACATTGTGTTTGTTTATGATTTGGAAACTAGACTGCTGCACTT